CAAAGCACACATCTTAAGTTAGCCAAAGGACAGAAAATAAACACAAAGGAAGTAGAAGGAAATAATAAACATAAAAGAATAAATTATTGAAATAGAAATCAAATTATAATAAAGAGGATCAAAGGGCTCATAAGATACTTCTTTGTAAATGTCTGGTAAGATTAATTAAGTGAAGAAGTCAGAAAGCACAATAAAAATGAATAGAAATGTAAAGAGGGACATAATCATAGATTCTGTAGAGATTAAACAGGTAAGAGAATAATATAAATTTCATGACAATAATTTGAAGATTTACATGAAACGGCTACATCCCTAGAAAATATGACTTACTAAGGAAGAAAAAAACCTTAATATTCCTATAAACATTAGAGAAATTACAGGTAAAAATCTTGCCCAAAGAAAATGCCAATCCAGATGGTTCGATAAGAGATTTAAGTCAAATTTTCAAGGATCAGAGAATTTCAATCTTATATCGCTCTTACGGAAAATAAACAGGAAGGATTACTTCCCGACCCATTTTATGAAGCTAGCAGAACCACAGAGCAAGATCAGGCAAAGCCAGTACAGAAAGGGAAAACTGAACGCCAGTCTCAGCAAACACAGACACAACAGCGCCAAGTGAAACATGCGCAACAAAGTCAACCAATGAATGTATTGAAAAGGATAATATTTCATACTGGCTCATCTCAGTAATGCTAGGTTGGCTCAATATTAGAAACCAAATAACATGTTCACAACTTTAACATACTGAAGGGAAAAAAAACCAGTTATCTTAATGGAGTTAGGAAAAGCCTTCGGTAAAATGTTACATCCATTTATGTTAAATCCTCTTAACAAATTAGGAATAGAAGGGAACTTGTTTAATCAGATAAAGAGAATCCATAAGAAAGTCACAGAATATTATACTACTTGCTGAAATGTTGAAAGTATCCTCTTTAAGATCAGGGACAAGACAAGGATACTTATCACCACTTTATCCAATGTTATATCAAAGTCCTAGTCAGTGTAGTCAGATAGGAAATAGTGATAAAATGCATTAAAAGATGACTGAGAGGAAGAAATAAAATTATCATAAATTTATAGATGATGACTAAGTACATAGCAAAGAGTACATAAGTAAATTATTAGAGTTAACAAGTTAATTTAGTAGAGTTGCTTGATACAAAATCAATATACAAAAATCGATTTTATTTCCAAATACACATGGAAGATATGATTTAAAAAATCACTTATGCCTGGAAACAAAAAATAAAATACTACGAAATAAATCTTAACAAGACATGAAAATTATTTTAAAAGTAACAATTATAAAATTTCACTGAAAGACACTGAAGAATGTAAATGGAGAGAAAACATGGTCTTAGACAGGAATACTCGGTAAAAAGATGACAATTATCCTCAAATTGATCTATAGTCACTGCAAACATAAGCAAAATCCCAATGGATTTCTTCTTCTACAAACTGATTGTAAAATTTATGTAAAACTGTCTAAGGCCAAGAATTGTTGAGACACTCTTAATGGAAATGAATAAGGTGGGGACTCGCCCTGCCAGATATCAAGATTTATTACAAAGTTATAGTGACTAGGACTGTGTCATATTAACGCAGTGACAGGCAAAGAGCTACTTAACATGAAAGACGAAACTATAACTACAACTAAACTTTTAGGAAAGGACAGAAGAGAGTATCATTAGAATCATTAGGACAAGAAAGGATTTATTTAAGAGAATAGGTCACACAAGGGAAAAGACGGGCACATTTGGCTACATCAAATTGAACTGTTCATAAATATACCATAAACACAGTGGGAACACAGGCCACAAAACGGGAGACTATATTTGTAACATATACAAATCCATAGTAAAGGATTAGATATAGAATATATAAGTAACTTCTAATTACGGAAAAGGAAAAGATAAGGTCCAATAAAAAATGGGCAAGAGCTATGAATAAACACTGAAGAGGAAACATAATGGCTCACCCCAAACACAGGAAGACCAGCCACTTCATTCACAATCGGTGTAATGTAAAATATTTACCACAATGAGATGCCGCTAAACTCTCATTTGAACAGGCAGCATTAAACAGTCTGTCAGTAACAAGAGGAGCTAGGCTGTGGGGCTACAGGAACTTTCACACATGGCTGCTCCCTGGAGACCGCTGGCGCTACCTGCACTGGCCCAGCAGTTCCGTGCTTACGTGTACACCCGGGGGTACCTGCTCGTCTATCCCGCGGCACCTGTACACGAGAGCACACAGCAGTCTCGTCGATATTAGTGAATCCCCTCTGACACAACCCACGTCCTCATTAACTATAGGGTGGACAGGTTAACTGTAGCATATTTGGATGGGGTACTCAACAGCAGCTAAAATGAATGAAACAGTGCTGCATTCTCAACATGCATGGATCTCAGAATGCTGAGTGAGAGAATCAAGACACGGAAAGATAGGTGGTATGCGATACTGCTTCATTTTTACAGTTTTAAAATGCAGATGTGTATGTGTGTGTGTGTGTGTGTGTGTGTGCGTGTGTACTAAGCCACGAAGAAAAGCACAGGCAGGATTATGTCACATTTAGGGCAGGGGGCACATCTGGCAGGGAGGAAGAGGGATTTGATCAGGGAAAAATGCATAAGGGAATTTTAAAATATAGTTAATGTTCTCTTTCTTAGCTGGATAAGGCAAATGGAAGTGTTCATTTTAATACTTTTCTCTAAATTGTATGTATGCTACATTTTATAATGAAACTTCTTGTAGAGGGAATGGAAGATGGAGAAGTAAAGGGACCAAGAACAGACACAACTTGTGAGGAATTTTGCTGTGAAGAGGAGCACACAGAAATGGTGCTGGAGCTGGAAGGACTGTGGGACTGTGTTCCTTTCTTTTTTTTTCAGATGGCAGATATGACAATATATTTGCATGCCACTGAGAATGTATGAAGGGAAAAAATAGATGGTGTTGTTGATAGGAAATATTTAAGGAGGCAAGTCTTCAGGTAGGTGAGAGCAAAGAAGCTGGACTTAGAAAAGCAGCTTATTCACTGTAACAGGAGGTAGGTGAATGTATGGCTTCAAATGTAGGTAGGCTGGTAGATTTGTTGGTAAAAAGGTGCATTTGTTCTCTTGCGACTGGTTCTAATTTTTCAGTGAAATGAGAGGGAAGGTTATAAGGGAAGAAAGGATATTTGAGGTTTAAGGAGAAAGAGGAGAAAGAGTCAGGGGAGCTGGGAAGCATCTCTGAAAATGTTCAGGGCCTGCTTGAATTTTACGTTCATAGCTTTAATATGAGATTGGTCAGGAGAATGGTTTGCTCTTCCTTCATCAAGGATGACCTGCTCAGGCGCAGGTGTGGAGTGCTGAGTTTAGAGAGTCAGAGTTTTACTGCGTGGGAACAGGAATGGGGAGTAAGGGTGATAAATGCTGAGAAAGTGTCAGGGCCAATGGGCTGGAAATCCTGATGGGGCTGATGAACTTGGCATGGCAGGCCAATCTGTGACCTGGAAAGATACCAGGTGGTGGTCAGTCAACGGAATGCTTAAACCTGAGACTGTGAAGGGGAGCAAGTACTTCCACATCTTACCCTCCACTCCACTGAGAGTGCAGCAGGGAATCAGGGAGCAGAGGTGTGGCAGCAGGCAAGGGCACAGGAGACAGAGGCCAAGACAGTAATAGGCAGGTGTAATGAAGCATTGTGTGGATGCTGAGCCCCTGAGCAGGATGATCAGCAGCTGGATGGGAGAGGGAGGCTGAGCCGGACAAGATCTGATGAAGAGGAGGAAGGACTAAGGGCTCGGTAGGTGTCCACAGCAAGGACAAAGGGCAGTTGGTACTGGAAGAATTCACTCCAGTGGAGCTGGGGATTTTGAGGACAATGGTCTGGGACCAAGAATATCTTATCTACCTCTAGGCCCAGCGGGAAGAGTGACACAGGAGAAAAATCAGCCCCTACTTGGCAGGGCTGCAGGGAGGCAGTACCCTCAGGAGAGAGCAGGGTTTCAGAGAAAAAGCAGATAAAAGAATATGAAGAAGGGACAGCAGACTTTTGCTGATGAACGATCCTGAGGTCTACGGGAGGGGCATAGGGGAGGGCTTGGCAAGGGCAAGGATAGAGGTGGAGTCAGATTAGGGCATAAAGAGCTGAATGGGGATGAGAGTTGAGATGATATTATGAACTAAATGTGTTTCCCACAAACTCCTGTGTTGAAGCCCATATACCCAGTGAGGAGGTATTTGGAGCTGGGACCTTTGGGGAGATAATTAGGGTTAGATGAGGTCAGCAGGGGGTGCCTCATAAGGAATTAGTGGCCTTATAAGAGGAACAGGGAGACCTCTCTCTTTCTCTCTGTGCACAGGCATTAAGGAAAGGCCATGTGAGATTCAGACCTTGGACAGATCTTTGGGGACAAGACTAAGGTAAAGTGACTGGGAGACTGTTAACCAACTTGATCATTTCTCCAGAGGCTGATGCTCTGGCTTAGAGAGCCTGGTGCTGGCCTGGGTGGTCTGGATCCACTGTGAAACACAGAGTTTCAGATCCAATCTGTCACACGGCTAGTGGTACTGACAGGCACTGGGGTGTGGGGATTTAGTGACTTTCGCACTGCACGGCTGGATAACCTGAGACAAGGAGTTAGTGGGAGAAATAAAAATTAAGAGCCCCATTAGACCCCCTCTGCTTCTCAGGCTTAAAAAGATTTCACAGCCAGAGTTGTGAAGGGAGGTTAGATCTGCTGTTACTATATCGAACGTTATTTACCACTTACTGCGTGACTTTCACACACTGGGCACCAATGGAAAACAAAACAAAAAGCGGCCAGGAGTGAGGAACAAAGGAGAAGGGCAGGACTAAAGCTACTACTGGTGTCCACATGCCTGGAACCTCCAATGAGCTGTTTTAATTTTTAATTTAACCAATGAACCCAAGGGGAAAAGTGTGACAAAGATGAAAAACATGGTGTTCCCGCCAGCTCGGGAAGCTGGAAGAAAGCTAGAATGCCCTGGTTACCTGTGAGTGACGTAGTCCACAAGATGCTGTTTGAACATGAGGCTCCACTTCTTAATTGTATTCAGCAGAGATGCTTTAAAGGGTCGGACATCGATCTTCATCCAGCCATCAAACACCTTGATGGGCTCCAGCCTGCACACATCTTCGTGGAGCTTTTCATAGGAGTCGATCTGTGCTTTGAACTGATGGAGGAGGGGCGGGTTCTCCGGGATGCTGTCCTCGGCATGGGTTTCGACCTCCTCGGGTGTGAGGACGCGCCCGTACAAGAGAAACTGCCCCAGAACCTCCTTCCGGTCCTCCAAGTAGAGGTAGGAGTATCGGCTGAAGGTGTCCCGGTAGCGGCAGCAGAGGGCCATCACGCTCTGTACCCTCTCCATGAGCTCACCCCGCATGCCCGCCAGATCGGCCATGGCCTCCAGGTCAACCTGCGGGAGCAAGACCACAGCGGGCGGGTTACAGCAGCGCTTCGCTGGGAGCTCCAGATCAGGCTGGCGGGCAGGACAGCTGCAGATCCAGTACCTGATAGTGGGGAGAGTCGTTCTGAGGGGAGAGCCTTGGCACCAGGGACGGTATCTTAAAAATGCTGGTGACAAGACCTTCAACAATGTCATAGAAGCCACCCTTCACTCCGGACTCCAGAGACGGACAGAAGACCAATTCTGGGATGGCTAAGCTCAGCTGTGCTTCAAATATCGGGGTGACGCCTGCCTTACATTCTGAAAAACAAGGAAAACAAACAAAACAAAGGAGAATGGGTAAAAGAGACAAAGTACAACACTGTTTCAAAAGCACTCAGAACATTTCTTTCCTTTAGATGGGCTATCTGGGTATAAGGAAGTGGAATGTAAAATTTGCTAACACCCCACAAAAGGCAAGGGTGATGGTCTTGCGGTGTCTATCACAGGGGAACCACTGACACTTCAAAGTGGCTAATTTTTGTGCAGAGCTGTCCTGGGTGTTGCAGGACATTTTCTCTCCTTGTCCTCAGAGAGCAGGTGCCAGTGACTGACCACCCAGGCCAGTCCCCTTCCACACTCCCAGTGCCTCCTGGGGGACAGCACAGCCTCTGGCTGAGAAGAGGTTGATTTTGCCAAGCCAATTACTTGGAAGCAGCTGACTTCCTTTTGGGCACAAACCAGGCAATTCCATGGGCAGCCACTGGAGGAAGGGTGTGCTTGTCCAAAGTTGTGTAGTTATGGGGAAAAAAAAAGGACACAGTCCTGCCTGTTCCTGCCTGTTTTGCTCCTTTTCTCTAAAAGCAGAACTTATTTTAATTCTGTAGTCCTGTAGTGATAAAAATTTAAGAAACAGTATAAATAATTAACAGATCCCTGATTACTTGCTAGACTAACTTGCCTTGCTAAATTTAAATCAAATATATAATATGGAACAAAATGTTCCAAGTATAAGATAAATGCTTGGATTCTTATTAATAACCACTTATTTTCATCTTTTTACTGTAAAAATACTTAGGAGGCTGTTATGTGGTTGATACCACGGGTGGTGGAGACTACCCATATTACTCCATTACCCCTTCTTCCCAGAACCAGAGGGACTCCCTCACCCCTGGAACATGGGAGGACACACCACTTCTGGGCTGGGGTCCATGAGACAGCAGGTGAGCCTCCTCTGTGCTCGCTCTTCTTCCCTCCCACAGGCGAGACTGGGATGTGGCAGTGACCGACTCAACCACGGAAATGAAAACCAGGCCCCAGCAAGTGGTGGAACCACAGCATGGAAGGACCTTGCCACTAACCTGGAGTGCTCACTTTTGACTGGTACGGAGGACAGATGTCTTTGTCCTTTAAGCCACATCACTGATGGAGTTCTGTTAACATTGCTTAGCCATTCTCCCCAACTAAAAAACAGTGGGATCCTCAAAGATACGTAAGACTAGGGTCTGGCCTTCAGAACAGTAGGGATGATAAATTTGCATTACTGGACTCAGGAGTGCCCCAGCAAATGACTGTTTAACTTAAGGCAATGCAAGTTTACTAGTATTATAGTAACTATACCACTATTATAGTTTTTTTTAAAACAAACCTGCAGAATTATGCCTTGCATATGTTCTCATGATATAGTTTGCATTACTACATGCATCCAATACTTGTAACTTAATAGATCGGGTTGTATATAATTTAAAGGATTTAAAAGACTTTCAAGAGCATGCTGACTACATGAGATTTTGCCCTATGTGCCGACATGAGAAGCCAATCCCTATGTTAGATGCAATGTCAACATAATTGCCGTACAAGCCGGATGGTCTTAGTGGTTCTACACCCTTGGCACAAGTAGATCACTTTAAGAGTTGAGAAAGGGAAGGGTGTTTCTGGATAGAGTGGGTGGCATTTAACACAGGCAGGGTTTGGATTCTGAGAGATGGCTGGGAGGTCAGCCCAAGCCACGGGAATGGTATCTGACCGAACACGAGAAGTAGAAGTAGCAGGGTGGACCAGGGAAATAAAGCAGTCCAGCTGGGCTAGGGCAAAGGGTCACAGAGACTTTCCACTTAGAGGCCACTCTCTTCAGGCTCCTTCACCTCCTCTTGATAACCAGTGCCTTTTCATTTTATCTATAGCTCCTCAGCTCAGGCAGCTACTAAGCCAGCTCCTGCCCATCCTATATTGTGAAGAAAATGTGTTTCCCTCCCCTCCTATTTCCACGGAGGGAAGGTAACTTGGCTACCATCCCCCCCCATCCTCCTGCTCCCATGCTCTCCTTTCCACGCGAGGAGGGCAAGTGACACATGGGACAGCCCCCATCAGGAGAGCCGGATAGCCACTGGCCTAGGGTGAGTCCCTACATTTAGGGGCCATCTCTTGTGCGGTGCCTGCACACAAGTGTGTCTGGGGCATCTTCCTAGATCTCGAGAGGAGGGCCAAGTGATGAGGACACTCAACCTCCAATATCAGACGAGGATGGTCAGTTCACTAAGATGAGCACCTCTGGCACTGGTCCCTTGGAACCAGCTCTCCAATCTTGGTGTCTGTGTTCCCCCTGTAACCAGCTGTACTGGTTACCTGCCCCCAGGTTCTAGAAGGTGACTTCCCAACCTGTTGGTTATGCTGTTTCCTGCTACTGTATCTCCTTGATTTGGAGCACCCTGCATTGTGAAAGCAAAGACCTTGCCTCTGACCTGAGTCACTTCACCTATCAAGACCACGGGGTGGAGATGGGGGCAGCCCATCTGAGCTCCCCTCAGGGCTGGCCTTGCTCCTCTCTGCATTCTCAGCCTGGGTGTCTGCATGCATCCTCCGGCATGGCCTGGATGTCTGGACACTGGTCTCAACCTACCTATTTTAACTCTGCATTTGATTTCTTTCTTAGGTTGAACTCGACATCTCAAACTCTCATCTCACCTTCATCCTCACCTTATCCTTCACTCTTGCTAAGCTTCTTAGAATCTATCAGCATATGAAAGGTTTAATTCAACTTCATTCCTGAACTCTTCTGCCTTTTCATCCCATCACTTACTAACTGAGGTTGGCCCCTACTGTAAAATCGTTGACTCTGCACCGGAACCCAGTGTATCAACCATAAATGCTAAAACCTTAGCTATCTTTCAACAGATTCCAAGAATGCCCATTACCTCTGTAACAGTCCTTTTCCTTCTGAAAGCCCCCTCACCCGCAGCTTCTCATCTGACTCTTTTTAGACAAAAACTCCTGTTTCTTCCACTTAAGCTGGCTACTAAAAGCTCCCTGTGTTCTCAAAAGGCTACAGAGCTAGAGCACATTAGGCTTGGAGGCACAAACCGCCCCCTCCCACTGCCATGAGTCAAGCCCAGATGAAGCTGCCATCTCCGGCGGTGCTTCCCGCTGCTCCAGCTTAGTCACTCCTCCTCACTGAAGCTTGATTTAGACTGAATTAGCTTTTACGTGTTTGCTTCTGCTATGGGCTTCGCTATCTTAGAGCCTGGCTTATCACCTGAGTTTAGGAGAAAGAGAAGTCTTTCATCTTTGAAGAGTTGAGAAACTCAATACATTTGCTATTTTACTGTGTACAGTTCACAGCATTTTGGGAAGAGGCCAGAGCACTCAACTGCACTTCACTGCAATGTGACAGGTGCTATTACTGCTATCTTCCCAGTAATAACCACATCCATAAGCCAGTAACTACCAGTGTTTTCCAGGAGGTACTTGAGGGAGCACTCAACGGCAAGGAAGAATCCATCCAGTAACATATCATCGATGTAGTTAACGTAAGTCTTCCAGATACTGGAGGTCGGGTCTGCTGAAAAAAGACCCAGATTTTGCTGCAAGATAAAGAAGAATGGATATAAACCATGTTTAATAATATGGGAGGATTGGTCTTATCATCATTAATGGGAATGAAAACAACACATGGAGAAAAACTGCACTGTTATGAAGAATATGCTATTACAGACGCACCTGGGAGATAGTGTGGGTTTGGTTCCAGACCACCACAAGAAAGTGAATATACAATAAAGTCAGTCACACAAAGGTTTTGGTTTCCCAGGGCAAATATAAGTTATATTTACACTGTACTGTAGTCTATTAAGTGCAATGGTTTTAAGTCTATAAAAAGAATGTTTATCCCTTAATTGAAAAATATTTTATTGCTAAAAAAATGTTGACTATCACCTCAGCCTTTGGCAACTCATAATCTTTTCACAATAGTAACAAAGATTACCAATCACAGATCACCATAAAAAGGATAATACTAATTTAAAAGCTTGAAATACTGTGAGAATTACCAAAATGTGACACAGAGCTATGAAGTGAGCAGATGTTGTTGGAAAAATGGCCTTGATAAACTTGCTCAACATAGGGTTGCCATAAACCTTCAATTGAAAAAAAAAAACCAAACAGCGTGATATCTGTGAAGCACAATAAAGAACATGAAAATGAAGTACACCTACATGCGTGTATCAGACCCATCCCGTCCAATGGGGACAGGCCTTGCTTGAAAGGAACACACAGTTAACCGCTGAGGGGAATGTGGTGTCTCATCCTCTCCCAAAGAAAGGAGGATGGGTCAGGCCACCTTCCCAGGAGGAATGCTGATGGATGCAGTGTGGGCTTCATGGGTGCTGGCCGGTGGCTGGAGGGAGCTGCATCAGAGCAGAAGTGAGGGCAGGCAGAGGAAGGAACACCAAGGGCAGAGGGCATTGTAATTCAAAATGTATAAGAAATCTGGTGACCCATCCCAGCAAGTAAAGCATTTCCTGGATAATCCTTAGAAATGAGCTGGAGTTTCTTGTTGTTGGCATTTAATATTATTAACTAGAAACCTTTCTCATACTGAGTGACTTCGAAACACACACACAGAAACGAATGCACGGGCCCTTTCTCCCTCCCTGTCATGTGATACAGTCCCTGACCTAGTGGTGCAGCAAGTACAGATGTCCCATTTACTCATCATTATTTTCACCATTCAGCCTTCTTATAGCAATTTTCCATTTAGCTTACATCTTCAAAGAAAGCAGTTATTACTCTGCGAAAGTAAATTTTCCAGGTGACTCACACTTAGTCCTTTAGGAAATACTACCATATGATAAATCCGCCTAAGTTAAAAAATACAACTCATGATTCTGCTTTTAAACGACACTCTAAAATTTTAAAAATGCATTACCTACACCTTTCCTTCCTAAGTAGATTAAAGATTTAATGAAAGTCCACCATCATGCAAGTCATCACAGTGACAATACAGAGCTGCTCTCGGGTGTTACTAACCTGTGTATGTCTGCTTGCTTCTATAGTTAAAAACTTTGAGTCTTTATGACTGCCTTGTAGAATTGTTCGCTCTCTTTTCTACTGACACCCTATCAATACAGCTATCTATACCTTTCACCTCTCTACCACAAATCTACTACAGAACAAGGAGCAAACACATAGGAGTTTTCTGTAAACTAAAAAGAAATAGCTCAAGTTTCCGGTTTTAGCCGAGACAGGAATGAGATCAGACTTTCCCTTCTGCTACAAACAACTATAGAACTGGATACAAGAAATAATTATTTTGGGTAACTGGATAACAGCACGGGATGCGATCCTTAAGAGAAGGGGAATACTCAAGGTGTGTTCACAACCACCTGGCTTTCTTCCTAGAGGCACTTCCCAGAAGCCATGGCACAGGGAAGTGGGCCTAAATCAGGGCATCCTTCCTGCTGGGAAGAAAAGACAGAAACTGGGGCTTTGGACTGCTCAGGCTGCTGAGTCCCCTAGAGTCCCTGACTGAGTATTAAGCCACACATACTTGGGACAAGACTCTCCAAGACCAGGTAGAGAACAGTTACTGAGGGCTTGAAGCTGAATGGAGACTGTGAAGGTCACCCAGTGCTGGAAGATGTCAGTGTTCTGTCAAGACCTCACAGATAACCTAGGATTTCAGCTGAGAACCTGAAATGCTTTAGGGTTAGAGCTCTATTCCAGAGTAAGGTCTCTTCAGACTTTCCCTAACAAAGCTTAAAACAAAGCTTGTGATCGAGCTGACCCACCAGTGACTTAACTGCCTGCCAAAACAAAATCACAACTCTTTAAGGGAAATAACAGCCAGATTTTAAAGTGGCATCCAACATGCCTACAACATAATAAAAAATTACTAGATGTGCAAAGAAGCAGGAAAGTGTGACATTTTACCAAGAGAGAAAATAATCACTAAGGACAGACTGAGAAACTGGCTGTCACACCAATCCTGGAATGTCTATTCCTTAGATTTATTTTATGTGTGAAAAACATAAACTTACTACTTCACATTAAAAAAAACTCAGGAAATAATATAGATGTTGGAATTAGCAGACAAGAATGTCATAATTTGATTTAAAATTCCCCAAATTTGGCAAAAAACAGATTCAAGAACTCACAAACTCCAAGCAGGCTGAATATAAAGAAAACTTATTTAGGCACATTATGGTCAAATGGAAAAAAATACAAAGAATTTATTTAAAAGGAATCTATTAAAAGCAGCCTGAGAAAAACAGTACATTATATATAGAGGAACAAAGATACACATTACGGCTGGCTTCTCATCAGAAACCTTGGAGGATAGAAGACAATAAAATGACTTCTGAAAGAAAAATAAAACTGTCGACACAGAATGTTATATTCAATGAAACTCTCCTTCAAAAACAAAGGCGAAATAAGGACATTTTCCGATAAACAAGAACTGAGAGAATGTGTCATCAGCAGACCTGAACTGCAAGAAATACTAAAGGGCATTCTCCTGGCTGAGGAGAAACGACCACAGATGGTAGCTCAGTTGTACAGAAAGGAAAAACAAGTCTGAAGATAATAAACATATCAGTAAAGACAAAACACTATAAATATTTTTCTACACGTTTTAAAACAATTATAATACTCTACTGTGGGGTATAGTTTACACACACACACACACACACACACACACACACCACCCAACACTAACAAAAGATGGCCGAGCAGTTTGAATTGCTGCTAGGTTCCTATACTTCATGGAGAAATTCTAAGTAGAAGGTGATTAGTTCAGGAGACCTACTGAAACCTAGAACAACCGCTGCAAATGTAATGCAACAAGGTAAAGCTGAAATTCCAATTAAGAAACTAAAATAGAATACTAGAAAATATACAATTAATAACAAGAACAGGTGACAAAAAGAGTAGAGGAGCAAAAAAGAAATGAAGCAAAAAGAAAACAAATGGCAAAATAGTGGTGCTAAATCCAATAATCCAATGCTTACATTAAGTGTAATAGTCTAATCATTCCAATTATCAGGAAGAATTGTTAGAGGTAGAAAAGTAAGTTTTTACTATATGTTGTCTATTTAAGAGACGAAATTTGAGTCCAAAGAAATAAATAGGATGGATGTAAGACGCTGGAAAGAGATGGATGATGCAAAAAGTAGGAATAGTGAATCTGGAAGGAAAGGCAATAATGTCCTCAGAAAAAAACAGACTTTTAAGACAAGGGAAATAAACATAATTTCATAGTGATAAAATGGCCAATTCATCAGGAAGTTAGAGTAATTATACACGTGTTTGTACCTATTAACAGAGCTTCAAATACCTGATGAAAAATCTGACAGAACTAAAGGATTAAATAGAAAAATCGAAAATCATAGGTGGAGATTTTAACATTCTGCCTTTAGTAACTGGTAGAACAAACAGACAAAAAAACTGAGACATCATATAGGTGATATGCACAAGACTATCAACCACTTTGAACAAACTGGTATTTACAGAACACCAAGTTCAACAATGTAAGAATAAATACACTGTCAATTGCACAAAGAACATCCAACAAGACAAACCATATTCTAGGTCATACAACAAGACGAATTCCAAACATATAGAGTATCTTCTCTGCTCACAATGGAATTAAATTAGGTATCAATTTCATTAGGCTACCCTGAGAAGCCACAAATATGTAGAAATTAAACAATATACTGAACAAATCACAAGAGAAAAAATTTAAAACTGAATAATAATGAAGACGAGGTAGATCAAATTTGTGGAATGCAACAAAAGCACTGCTAAGAGGGAAATTTATATCATCACATGTTTGAATTAAAAGGGAAGAAAGGCTTAAAATCAATACCCTAAGTTTCTACCCTTATAGGCTAGGGAAAAAAGGTGAGCAAATTAATCCCAAATTAACTAGAAAGAAAGAATGAAGAATAGAAACTAATGAACTAGACAACAGACAAAGAAAATTAAAAGGTCAAAAGCACAACATTTTATTGTGCTTCAAATCACAGATAACCCAAAGACAATGACTGTAATTCATTACTGACTGCACATGAGATCAATCCATCAGAACTGCCCTATGGCCACTTCAGAAGGGCTGGAGCTGGTGGCCACTGAGAGCTCTTTTCCCTTGTTCAGTCTTGGATGATGGGACACGAGGTTGCCATGATCACAGTGCAGGGAAGAGCCTTACCATGTGAAGCACCCTGCATTTTCCCCTCTCTTTATCAAACGTAGTCAGGGATACCACAGTCCTCTTGCATCACCACAGGCTCTAAAGAGCGAGGCTGTGAAGATGATACTGGAGGTCCATATTAGTTTGTGTGGGCAAAGTAGATAATTTAGGATCTTGTCCTTGGCATCTCCTTCTACCCCCTTGGGGTGTGGTCTGGGACTGAAGTTATGTGACAACTGAGTAGTGTCACCATTAAAATAGTATTAATTTTCACACACTGATTCCAGAACGTGACTTTGCACTCCCTCTGTCAGTTTTAGTTCTTTTGCTGTAAGTATCAACTTCTATCCCTGACTGTAGAAGACACAGCATTTATTGACTGTTTTAATTTCCAAATCACTTCTTGCACCCAATCATGCTTCTTGGTGCCTTTCCTGTACTTGTGGTGTTTGTGTCTGAGAGGCTGGTTGTTACCTGAACAAGGGCATGAATCTTAAGGCCAGATTCTTTGATCAGACTGTAGTATTTTTCCATTCGATCATGCTGATCTTCCATAGAAAGAAGGCATTCCTTTTTCCCATCTTTTCTCTTAAATATTGGTGTCACCCATGTTTTCATGATATTTTGAATCTCTTCCACATTGTCTTTAATTTTCTGAATTCTTTGTTCAAGATCACGAATACTGTTGGTGATTTCAATGACATAATCCCAAATGCCTGCTCCCCAGAAGAAAAAGAATTAATTGAAATTGAAAGCTTACAGTGGTATAGCTAAGGGTCCAATTGCTATGAGAGATAAGGATTTAATACTTGTGGGTTTTATAAGACTTGTCTGCACAGGTTAGTTTGCAATCATCAGAACCTTTTCCTTCCTAACTGTATCAATCCCTTACCATGCCCCTGGTCGCGAGTTCTTTGAGAGTTGGGCCATGTTCCCCTAGTCCTCATATCTCATAATTTCCCCACAGTCCCACACATGATACCTTGTACAAGTTAATCAATCAACGAAAGTTTACTGAATTAAACTGGAGGACACAAGAGAAGTAAATGCATGGTTCTCTCATTTAAGATGTTTACAGTGCAATATAAAATAGATAAACAACAAGGTCCTACTGTGTAGCATAGGGAACTATATTCAATACCTTGTAATGGCCTATAATGAAAAAGAATATGAAAAGGAATATATGTATGTGTGTGTGTGTGTGGGTGTGTGTGTATAAATGAATCACTATGCAATACACCAGAAATTAACATAACACTGTAAATTGACTACACTTCAGTTAAAAAAAGATGTTTACGGTCCAGTTGAAAAAAGTAAGTAATGATGATAACATAGTAAAAATCCTCGTTCATGGAGTGCCTGACATATGCTGGAGACCGCGACAGCTCATGCATCCTCTGAGCCTCCTCAGTGTGTGGCAGCAAAGATTTCCAAATCTCCCAACCACACAAACAGGAGGCAGAAGAGGAACAAAAGCCCTCCTTGTCTTCTCTACTTAGGACACGATGTCTGAGAGGACGGACTCGTGCTCAAACCCAAATCAGATTAACAGGGGAGTTAAGTGAGGTTCTATCAACTTTATTAGAACCTCGACTCCCAACCTTTTCCCCGGACTCCAGGTGGTGCCCTGTTACCTTCTGTTTTCCAGCTCAGAGTCTCCTCTGCAGCTCTCAGGCGGAGATCAATATTTTGCAGCTCTTCCTCCACTAATGGAAATTCCACCTCTAGCAGAGTTTTCGTAACCTTGTTGTACCAATCTGCCATCAACTCCAAATTGGCCACAAGCTGCCGATAAAAGTCCCTGGAGGAGAACATGGCGGCTGCTGTCTCAGGGATGTGCTCCATCTGCCTGGGCTGAAGATAACTCATTTCTTTCAGCACTGAGGTCAGCTGGAGGAAAGAATCGACAAAAGTGGCCCGAGTTCAGTGGCAACGAGGAGCAGCAGTGTCGGTCAGGACTGGAAAACCCCAGGGCCCAAAGGCCTCCTGGGTCCCTTCTTAACTTCTGCTCCTACCGGTTCCTTAAATCTACTCTCTGAGAAGGGAAATTGAGTATCAGGCAAAAGGAAGACGATCAGAAAGCACCAGTGTTTACCAAATCTGTGAATCACAAACAAAGAGCAAGAGTAGGAAAACTGAGAAAGAAGAGACCAGTGACAGCAGGGGAGGGCTCTGCCTTGATGATTTGGGCATGCGGCTGTGAAACCAAAAGGCTCCTGCTGCCCAAGCCAGGTCTGTGGAGGGTGGGGGTGGGAAGGACGAGGATCATCTTGTCAAAGCGAAGAAATGAGTCTTCCAACTCTCTTTATTGGCTTTTATTCCACGGGGACTTGATGCTCTACTTAAACTGGAATTTTCTCAAAAAAAAACCCAATACGCTATCAGCTTAGTTTTCAGCTCTTTCTACGCTGCATTCCTACAGGACATGCCATCAAGACAGAACCAGGAGACTGCTTTTAGCTCAGTGCGGCCAACACCTTGTGTTAAATTTTTAAGCTGAATGATGTACATCCGTATATGGACTAACTTTTGGTTATAGTGTTCTCTAACACTAAGCTTTCCATGGCGGCCACAGCCCACACTGGTCTTCTACCCTTCTGATCATTTAAAGCAGGGTTTCTCAACCTCAACACCATCGACATTTTTGGACAAAACACTCTTCGTTGTAGGGCACCATCCTGTCCGTTGTAGGAAGGTTAGCAGAGCATCCCTGGTACCTACCCACTCTGTGCTGCTGGCACCCCCTCCATGCTTGACAACCAAAAGTGTCTCCAGAGGGACAACACTGCCTTGGTGGAGAACCACTAATCTAGTAGCTTTCTTCCAAAGCTACTCTTTGCAGATTTATCATATGCTACCTAATGAAGACAGATTTTTACATGCTGAGGTTCTGGCTTCCAACTAGTGTGTGGGCTCCTGGAGGTCAGGAACCAGGTCTTACTCTTGGTGGACCCCCAGCATCCAGTCACCGGCCTGCACCTGTGGTGGGTATTCAAGGTAGGCCCTGTTGACTCTGGTACTAAGTGGCCAATGATATTTTGCAATGTTTTCTGTTGCGTGAAATCAAAGGAAATCCAAGGTGCAAGTTCTTTTGAGCAGTTTTGTATATTTTTATCAAAAGCCTTTTTGCCTTCGAAATCAGAAGAGTCAAATGAAACTCCTCAGAAGCCTAAAGGACATTACTACTGTCTAACTCACCTGTGGGCTGAAGTTGACAGAGATCTGCTTTGTCTCTGGGTCACGTTTCAGAAGCGGCTGGGAAAGGCTGTACTGTGACTTCTCTGATACTGTTTGACACCAGTCCTCATAAAGTCTCATTTCGTACCTGTGAAGATCAGTCAATAGTCACCTTATAAGCACCCACCCCGCTTCCCAAAACCTGGCAGTGTTTAACTGAAGATATCTCTCTTTATATATGAACACATACATAAAACATATACATACATATATAATAACATCTCTATATCTAACTACCTACCTTTAATACGTATATCTCATGAACTGAAGAGATGCTATTAGTAAAATACCTGAATACATCCTTAAGTGAGAGTCTTTGACTCAGCCAGGCACGGCAGCTCCTGCAGGTGGCCCCTCATTTCTAAAGGTGGCACAGCTTAAATCAGAGGAGTGCAGAAAGAGAGGCATTATGCAGTCTTTCAGGGGGATAAGGGAAGTGGTGGTTAGTCTCAGTAAATGCTGGAAGAAGTTATCAGGTAAGATTCGCTCTCACACTAGTCTTCACGTAGCTCCCAGACACTCATTGTTCAGTAATTACACACCTACCGAACACCTATTATATGCTGGGCTTGGGAGCGTAAACAATGAATAAACACCATGTGATAAATGCAGCTAATGGTGGAACCACAGGTCAGCAGAGAATGCTGCAGTACAATCCTAGGGAGACGTACAGGGCATTGGGCTTTGAATGGCAGCGGTAGGCGGGTGGGTGGGGGTGGTGAGGAGGGCGCCAGGGAAGGTTTCCTGGAGGAAGGGCTGAAGTGATGCTTGACTGAATCTCAGAGGATAAGCAGAGGTTCAGCAGTAAAAGGGGACAAAGGGTGGAGGCTGTGTCCTGGGAAAGGTGAGTAGACTGTGCACCTGAGGGAGCAGAGGGCAAAGCTTGAGGCTGCAGAGGGAGGCAAAGGCCACATCAAGAAGCATTTTTTATGTTACATTAAGGAGCTGATGGGAGGCACTGAGAGGCTTCCCAGACAGGGGACGCGGTGACGGTATTGGATTGGGCAACGGTGTGGGCACTGAGGCGCACAGGTCCAGAGCAGGGAGATGGTCAGAAGGCCAGGCAGCAGTTCAGGCCTCAGAGGCTCCCGTCTCCAGTGAAGATGTGGGTGGTGGGGACAGAGAGGAGAGACAGACTTGAGGGAACAGAAGGGATAGAACTCGCGTTACCTGGCAGGTGAAGGTGCCACCAACTAATCAGTCTACACGGTGCTCAGTGTAATCACAACTATAATGACGACAGTCCTACTCTCCTGAATCAGGACAAAGAGCACATGCCAGAGGCAGGAGGCAAGAAATGGGCTGTTTCTGGGCCATGTACCCCAAAGACTTACTGCAGCTTTGAAGAAGGAACAACTGAGAGCCTACGTAAAGTTTGTATCCTTATGCTCTCTCTGTAAAGGCTGCAGGAATCAGTTTTTAAAACTCATGTTTCTTTGTGCAGCACAAACTGTCACTCTGGGGAGCAGCTGCTCTGACCTTGGGGTGCCACAAGGAGCGCCCCACTTCTTCTAGCTCTGCCGAGTTCATGCTCCCAACAAAACTAAACTGGAAAAGTGCCCATTTCTAGAATAGAGCTGCATTCCCCAGAGGCCCGGTGTTTGTGACCCAGAAGCACTGTGCTCACAGATACCGTGGTTTTAACATAAAACAGAGCGTCAGTTCACTGCCACCAGGGAACCTGCACAAACTGGGAAACGTGAAGGGCACCGCAGGGGGCTATGCAAGGTGCAGAGCCATCCAGCCCCGGAAGCTGCTTACTTTTCCAGCAACAAGAGCACATCTTCATATTTTTGTGCCATGCGCTTTCCTTCAGCAGATTCCATGCAGCTACCCACATGAAAGAGAGGGGGCAAATAACATTGAATTAGAAGTCCAAAATAATGATCTGAGTAACAAACTGCAGCCTGTAAAGAAGAGATGGACTATTTCAAAATTGTAGAACAGATAAACAAGATTATACTGTACAGCACAGGGAAATATACACAAGATCTTATGGTAGCTCACAGAGGAAAAAATGTGACAATGAATATATATATGTTCACGTATAACTGAAAAATTGTGCTCTACACTGGAATTTGACACAACATTGTAAAATGATTATAAATCAATAAAAAATGTTTTAAAAAAAAGAAGAGATGGACTAGCTTCCTGGGCTTGTTTCCCAAGGCCTGCTCTCTTCCTCCCGAACATCCTCCAAGGGCCACTAGAGGGCACCTGCACTGCCTGAGATACAGGCCACGCACAGGTGAAGAGGACAGAACCTTCCCCGCGGGCGATCCCTGAACCCGCCAACCCGGCCAAGCCAGTCAGGCATGGGTAAATGAAGTCCCTCAAAAACCTGAAGGGAAACTGAGACATGAAAGAAAAACTCTACCTGCTGCAATTTTCTGAATTTAGGAACAAAACTGTATATAACATTATACATTATAACAAAACTATATAACATTATATATGTATATAACAATGCATATATCAAGTAACAATAAACATACATTCCCCACACACATATATAAGTATTGTTATATGCAAAGCTTTATATATGTGTGTGTGTGTATATATATATATATATATATATATGTGTATATATATATATATTTCCCCTTCTCTGAAATCCATCCAGGACATATGATGAGAAACTGCCTCGCTGCTCACTGACACGTTTATCTGAGGTTCCCTCCCACCTCCTGCATCCCAAGATGTAAGCATACACAATGTACATACATGCACACGCAGACACACATGTACACACACTCGTGCTCACACACACAGACACACAGCCAGAGGCTTCCCAGATCATTCCCAGTGATCCCAGTATCACTGAGGATCCTGGAGTCATTGTTACCCACACTTGCTCCCCCCGTTTTGACACTTCTTTGCAACACAAAATGGGAGTCCAGCTCCTGGGAAAGTTAGTGAAATATCTGTAATTTTCAGAAACCTTCACACTAACTGTGTTGGAGGGTCTGTTTGATTTGTTTTTTTAGCAAAATGAGGCAGCTTATTGCAAAGACTCTTAAAATCCATTTGCTATTTAAACCAGCACAGGTTTCTTCACACGGTCCCCTGAGCTTCTAGCTTCGACATAAGCCCTCACGCCTGCAGAGAAAGCACGGGATTTCCTGGCATTTTTCCCAGTTGCTTGTTCCCCTTCCCTGGTGGAGGAGCGTAGTGTCTGCAGGGCAGCGAGGGTTGGTGGAAAGGGCCTTAGACCAGCCCTCCCCTCACAAGCCCTGGGGTCTCCTAACCCCAGATCTCAGTTTCTCTCCAGAAAACAACGAGGAGAGAGGAGAGAGCGGCCTCTCACACCTCAGCCCCTGGCAGTCGCCAAGAAGGCTTGAGAAGACCCAGGAATAAGTGCATCAAACTCCCCATAGATTCCCCTTCACTTCGTGGCGAGGAATCGAAAACGTTTTTAATAACCCATTCACACACACATATTATAGAGTATACACACAAGTGTGAATTCATTTTTAAAGCAAGCGGGAATTTCCATGGGCACTGTGGAGGATGTGGTGGGGGGCTGTCCAGATGCCCTCTCGGGACCGTACCCCCAATCTCCCTCCACCAGGAAGAGGCATGCTCCCTGCTGATGAGACACAGCTGTGTCACCCTCCGAGAACAGCCTCAGCCAAACGGAGAGACCACCTCCCCGCCCAAGGCCACGCCTCTCACTCCTCCACCCCCCGCCCCCGACAGCATACTTCGAATGACCAGCTGACGTCGGGGTACAAAGGCTGGGCAGCCCTAAAGGGCCAGACTTCCCCACGGATGGGCTCAGGTCTATGTGCAACTATGCTGCAGCTCAACGTCCCCCTCTGCCGGATCCCGTTCCCCCCCTCACAGGGGCCGTTCCCAAGAGCACCCCTGTGAATCCCTGCCTGTGTGCCTCCAAGCCTGCCACCGCAGTCCACATTCCTCAGAGCGGCCCGGCCACCTCCCCACCCATTCACATGTCTTCTCCCTCCCACCTTGAGGGGCATGTTTGAGGAGATGGAGGCTCAGTTGGACTCAGGGCTAAGCTTCTTATGGCTAGGGGATCCCCGGGAAGAGCTGTGAGGTAGGCCAGTGGTTTCCAAACCTGGTCACAGCCAGAGTCATGGGGAGAGCTTGCCAAGGAAGTAGCCTCGCGGGCACCATCCTGCTGAGATTTGGATTTAGCAGGTAAGGGGCGAGGCCTGGGGATCTGCATCATTAGCAAGCAGCCAGGGTGTTCTGTTATACAAGGTCCTCACACCATGCTGCAGGAAACACTGAGCTCCATTATCTTCCAGCAGCTTCAGCAGCAAAGAGCTGTCGTGTTAGAGAAGCTGTGAGGAGGAACCCGAAGAGCTTGAAAACCCTGACTCATCTTCCTCCAGAAACGAGCACTCCCATGGAGCAGCAGGAGCCAGCCTGTGGTCCAGCAAGCCTCACTCCACACCAGTGGACCCACCATCAGTCCAAACGCATCCGTCTCTCTGCTGCTCGGCCAACAGGTGCCTGTTTGCTATGGACTGAATGTCTGTGTCTTCCCCAAATTCACATAATGAGCCCTAAGGCGAGGCCTCTGGGAGGTGATTAGGTCATGAGGGTGGAGTCCTCATGAATGGGTAACAGCCAGTACACAAGAGACCCCAGACAGCTCTCCATCCCCTCTGCCGTGTCTGAGGACCGGTGAGAAGACAGCCATCTGTGAATCAGGGAGCAGGTCCTCCCCAACAGACGCCAAACCTGCCGGCACCTTGATCTTGGACTTTCCAGCCTCCAGAACCGGGAGAGAGAAATTTCTGATACTTCTGACATAAGCCACCCTATCCATGATATTCCGTTATGGCAGCCTGAAAGGGCTAAGACACAGGATGACTGCTGGAAATGGAAAGCAATGAAGATGATTTTCAAGCCTCAGTGAGTGACTTACATTGCTACTATGCTCGAAATCCAGAGCAGAAGCAGAAGCCTAAGACGAACTTAGGAGATACTCACGGGTGTGTCATGCGTCTGAAGTTGTCAAAGGGTCCCTGGATGCGCTGCCTCAGCTCCTGCGCCCAGCGGAGCCCCCCAGCCACCGTGGGCATGTTCTTGTGCACAGAGGAGAACCCTGGGGATGCAGCACAGCCAGACTGACGTAAGCCTCCAGCCCTGAGACCCGCTCCAACCCCTGAACACCTCCTGCCACTTTTTCCTCTTCTGCCTCTCCTACCTCCACCTGCTGCAGTCAGCCCAGGCCCACACTGAGATGGGAGTTCCTACGACATCGCCGTGTCCTGCCAAGGGGTAAGGAAGAGTGACTGCACACCAGTGACTTTCAACCCGCCTGCACTTCAACATCACTTGGGGCTTTTTTAAAAATACTGATGCTTGCTCCCTCCTCCCCCGGCCCACAAGCCATTCCGATCTGACTGGTCTGCATGGGGCCTGGTCATCAGTATTTTCAAAAACACTCAAGGTGATTTTATTGTACAGTCAGGGACAAGACACACTGCCTAAAAGAGACAACTTAATCTCTCGGAGCCTCAGTGTTTCATCTATAAAATGGGAGTAGTGTTGTTCCTGCTTAACTTCCAGGGTTTCTTTGAGAATTCTGTAAGGTTATGTATGAAACAGGCCATGTGGGTTTCAAAGCACTTGACCAGAGTTAGCACAGCCTGGATAGTCTTTCTTCAGTTCACACAGTGGGTTTGTTTGCTTATTATTAGTTGTCAAAATTTAACAATTGTGAGAATTCATTTTTAGGAAAAAATCTATTTCTAGCTTCTCTGATAAAATGGGAAGATCTGGCAGCCATCAGCCACCATTTCTAACTAACAACTGGCACTGAATAGTGGTCTTCCCTTTAGCTGACTGTCGACCCCACCACCCCCTGATGTCTCACACTCAGCCTGGGCCCAATACTGTCATTTTCTACTTGGCTTCTATGGTAGGCAAAATTCTGAGATGATACCCGAAGACCCTCATCCTTGCATGATCCCCTCCTCTTTAAGTGTGGGTGGAAACAGAATATGATGCGATGTCTCTCCTGTGATGATGTTACGTTATGTGGCGAAGGGGAGATGATCCTGAGTGGGCCTGACGTAACCAGGCAAGCCCTTTAAAAGCAGAGTTTTCTCTGGTTGTTGGGAGAAGGGGAAGCCAGAGATTTCAAGCTGGAGAAGGATTCAGTGTGCCATAACTGGCTTGAAGATGGAGGTGGCTATGTGGTAGGAATGGGAGGACTTCTAATCTCTGAGAGCAGCCCCTGGCTGACAGCCAACCAGGGAATGGGGACCTCAGGCCTACAGTCACGAGCAACTGGATTCTATCAACAGAAATGAGCTTAGAAGTGAATTCCCTCCCCCACCCCAACCCCAGAGACCCCAGATAAGAGCTCGGCCCAGTTGATTGATTGCTGCCTTGAGATACTCCAAGTGGAGACCCAGGCACACCAAACTGGGCTGCTGACCTACAGAACTGTGAGCAAAAAGACAGGTGTTGTTCGAAGCCACTAAGGTTGTGGTCATCTGTTATGCAGCAATAGAAAATCAGTATAATTCTGAAGACACTTTTCAAACTCTGCATCTGAATGTGAGAATGGATGAGGATGGTCCCACGTAGAGCGAGGCCAACAGAATTTCTGGGATGACTCCCAAGGTGAAAGGAATTCTTCATGACCTCACTATGAAACCAGTTTATTGAAATAGTTGTCCTGTCACTCCATTACTTAAAAACTTTTGAAAATTTCCGATTGCCTGGAAAATGAACTCCAAATTCCTTAATATGCTGCTCAGAGCACTTCACAACCTGGCCCCAAACTGCACGGCTGAGCTGATCTCCCTCTATATACCTTGTTTGGTCACAGGCAGGTCCAACTGGTCACCTTCCACATCCTTCCTGCCTTTGCTTTGAAAGCTGTTGCCTTTTCTTCCTGGCTGTCTGTCTCCCCATTTTTCAGGGTCCAGTTGAAGGCTACCTTCTCCATAAACTCTACCTCCAACCTCCCAGCCAAATTCATCTTGTTTTGTTACAGTTCTTTATAACTCAAATAGAGCACGACTTACACCCTGCTGTGTGTTACTGTTAACTCTGTTCATGCCAGTCATGCTCCTCGAAGAACCACCTTTCAGGATTAATTTTTCTAGCCCTTACCCTGGCCTGCCTCTACGTATGGTGCCCACAAATGCACCCTGCATATTGCAAGGACCCAAGAAATGTTGGCAAAGCTGAACTGACTTTCAAACAGACGAGACAGGGCAACTAAGAACTGCGATAAAAATGGAAACGTCACACCTCCATGTGCTACTGCTCTTCCTTGGGCTCCTGCTGGTTCCTCCTTCTAAAAGCATGGTTGCTGCAGCACTGGAAGGGATGAGAAACCTTCCTCGGGCATGTAAAAATCTACTGTGGAATTGAGGTACATTGATGAGTAATCAGTGTGGTGACACTAATCAAGGGTCAGTGCGTACATCATGCTGAGGTCTCAACTGACCAGAGGCAGCGGTCAGGACTTCACTGCTATGGGCCAGCCTGCCCATCTCAGCTGCACACACAGAGAAAGGCACAGTTCAGTGAACTCTACAATCACCCAAGACAGTCTGGAATTTCAAGCAAGAAGGCTGTATTTTTTGGAGAACATCCTAGATCCAGAGGGGATATGTAACAAATACAGAGGAGACGTTCCCCTACCCAAATCCCCAGACAACAAGCCTACCAAGTTCTGCCTCCTCCTGGACACGCTGACTGTAGATCACCCTCACAGCATCCAGGTCTTCGCTGAACATGCGAATGAGCGCCAGGTATTTGTCGGACACGTCCTGTGCTACCAGCGGTCTTTCCAGGAGGTTTCCTGCTATGTCCAGCAGCTGCAGAGGAGGCAGAGGGAGAAGAGAAAAAGTCACAGATTCAACCTTTCCAAGGTTACATATATCTTGTATCCTGGTTTTTCCTTCATATTTCTGTCCACCAACGTAAGAGGGTCAAAAGTCGTTATGTGCAACTGGATCAATAATTATTACTCGACAGACATTCATGGTCTATCCCTCTCACCTTTGTTTCTTAAGGAGGGGTTCCTGTGTGCCAAATCACCTACCGGACCCTCTCGTATTGTAAGAACCTGGAAGGGGGTGAAACAAAGTGGTGATGATGGAGAAGAAAGAAGCTAAATGGGCTGTGTGTTGGGGAGAATGGGGAGGGCTAAAATTTGAGAGTGGGGGCAAGAAAAAGGTTTCTGAGAAGGTGGTGATTGAGAGGAGACTTTGGAGCTGTCTCCTGTGCATCACAACTGCCCTAATCCCCTGGTGAGAGCAGTGGGATCAAGATGTGAAGTGCTTTTAATCACCTCTTGGTTGCTAGGTCGTGTTTCTTTTGATTGTGATGCTGCCTTGACACAAGGTCATGGAAGACTCCGGCTGCACTTAGGATGCACCAATGCCTGACTTCTAGGACCACTCTGACCTCCGTCAAAAATTACCCAATCTCTGCAGACAACAGAAAGCAGCTCTCTCTCCAGGGAGGCGTTAAGAGAGCAGGTCTCTACCGAATTCTGGCTCAAATGTCTTGCTGGGAGGTACAGAGATGTGAGCCAAGAGACCACGGCAGCCAGGCTGCACCCTCCGACCCGTTCTCTGACCTGGACGTACCCTCTGTGGCCATGTCCACTGAGGCACACCTAGTGGTCGGATGGTCTTAGGCAGTAACAGGGGTGTCTGGACTCAGGGACTCTCTCCAGCCCCTACTCCCCAACCCTGAAAAGGCACTTCTTTGCATGAAATTCTATGCACTGGAGTTTTTGTTTTGGCTGAAAGAGGAGGGAAGGGCTTTCTTTGGTTTTCCTGTTGGTGAAATGACCAAAGAGAGAAAAACCAAGCAGGCAGAGGTGACTGAGTGGCTGTGGTTTTCCTATCAGGTCCCATGGGCAGGGTGGGGAACCCTTTGAGAAGAGGAGTCGGGGCCTGGAGATAAAGGGTCTGTTTCTGTGAGAGCCTTGCAACTCTGGGTATGAGCAGTGCTGCCTTCAGGACCTGGCAGCAAAGGGTGTGCAAAGTTGGAAATCTCTCTCTACTTCTGCCCAGAAATCTACTCTGCCATGAAAATCAAGGACTGGAGTCTTTGGAACCCAGAGGGATATGCCCTTGGCATAACATAGATGCTTTCATAGTGGGGGTCATCGGAAGACCTACAGTACGACTCCAACAGCACCTCCCTGGGAAAGTGACATTATTAAGGGAGCCTGCAGAAAGGTAGCAAAGACACAATGATTTCAAAGACAGAACAGCTTGAAGGTACATGTGAGATCCCCTGAAGACTCCACGGCACACAAGGATCTGAGGCAGAGATAGGGCTGAACATCCTCAAGGCAGAAATGGAGTTCCAGCTTCACCAGCTGTCTGGGTGGTAACATCCCAATTAGCCATGACAGTTAATGGCAAGTGGGGTTATTTATAGACACATATAAGCCATTTTCTTGCAACTATTTCAAATGATTTGAGAGAGAAACTCTAAAAGCCTTCCCATATGAGTTATGGAATGGCAGGTATTTATTAATAATATGTGTAGTCTTGAATAAATGAAAAAAAATATATAAATATATTCACTCAATGGCGGGCAAAGCCCATCTGGGTTACCCAGTGTTCCAGAAGAGCGAGGATCCACCTATCATCTTCTGCCCAAGTGTCCCACCAGTCACCCGGTCTGTGTTTGGACATGTTCAGTGACTGGAAACTTAATTACTTCTCAAGGAAGTCTATTCCATCTCTAAATAGCTGTAACAGAAACCTCTTTCCTCTACTGAGCCAAAAATCTGCCTCCTCGTAACTTCTGCTGATTAGTCTCAGTTCGGATCCTTAAGGCTTTACAGAGTAAGTCTCTTCATAGTTCGTGGAAGATCTGTCATGTCCCGCTAGTCTTCATGTCTCAGGGCCCAGCGTTCTCACTTACGTAGCCACTTATCTACTCACCCTCCTAAGCCTTCCCTCCACATTCTCGTACCACCTGATCTGGCCAGCCCAGTGCGTGCGTCTTCTCGCTCTAGTTACTTGTTCTCGAGTGGTTTGCTCCAGCCTGAATCAAGCTGATGGCAGCGGATAAATACCCAACAGAGCCCTGGCTTCAGGGTGGTGACCCTTGGCTTTTAATGGATACCCTGCAGATAAGGCCCACAGAGAGCATTCCTGAAGAAACTAAAAGCATTTTTACATCGTCATGTTTTCAGAAACACATCCGCCATCAACCTGGGAAGCCCAGTGCTGCAGCCCCTCGGCCTAGGACTCCCAGGATGCGGCTCTACTAGACTAGGGGGCAGGATGGTTCCTCTCCGCAGGAACAGAACGTGGGAAGAGTGTGCCCGCCCTCCTCTGGGAGAGTGGGGAGAGTGGAGCACAGGGGCAGCCCCCTACTGTACAAACCTTGAAGGCATGCTCCAAACCAGGTGCCTCAGCAAATGCTTGAATAAAAATGGTCCCCAGTCTTCGGTCAAGATCTTCTATTCTCTTATTAAATTCAGAGATGTCATTTTCAAATTTCTGAAAAGGTATCATATAAGCATTAAAATACATGATTTTCTGAAAACCAGTCCCACTATGCTCTTTACTAGTAACCTGTGTACTTCAACTGGTTGTACCAAGGATTTATTTTAATTTTGTACAATTAGCCAGGGCACGACTTAGTTCTTTCCCAATGTAGACAGAGACCTTATTACTGCAGCATTTTTCCCCTAGACGCCAGGCAAAATGTAACGGGATGTGAGGCTGACACCGTCACCTCTCTCCTGTGCCCCATCTTCCACCTCCTGAAGCCCCTTCTCTCTCACCCGCAGCGCCAGCTCCTCCCACCCGAAAGCCACCTCAGCAGCCAACGGCCTCAGCAACAGGGCTGCTCCAACATTACCACCTCCTTCCCTTCTTCCTCCAAGTGAAAATCCATTTTTTTTTCAGTGTAAACAAACTGATCTGGCCATGAAGAGGAGAGTGAGCTAATTAAACTAGTATACACTATTTCTTCTAACTATACTTTAATTGCTTAAGACAGCAGCTAGCCATTGTTCCTAAGATTGCCAAATTTAGCAAAAATACAGGACACTCAGTTCACTTTAAACTTCAGATCAACAATGAATTTTTTTTTTTTTTTGGTATAAGCATGCCCCAACTATTGTATTTTCCCCGGCAACCCAAAGCGTGTTCTCTTTCTTCAAATGTAGCGATTTTCAGAGAACTGTGTTAACTCAAACGTGCAAGTTGTGGAATGCTTATTTCCTATTATTGCTTTACAATAGTAATGCGTGTACTTGTGGAAAGACAAAGAAAAGTTGGAAAACATAGTATTTTTCTAGTTTCCAAAAGCAACCACATTGACCTTGCAGGACGTCTCCCTGCGTGCAGGATTCCATTCTGCTCTGTTATTACACGGCAGCAAGCACAGGGTGTATGTCCTGCTTTGTACTTCACCTTTTTCTCTTTTTTCTACTTTAGACTAACGGAATTTTTAGAAAGTGACATTTCCTGGGTTTGGCCAACTAACACTTCCCCGCGCCCCTACGACATCTGAAGATGCTCAGAGCAGATTCTTGCTCTAATTTCCTTCTCCTTTTCCCTCACTCTTAAAAATCCCTTCTCCTGGAATTCAGCCATTCCATTCTCAGGGAGCTCCATCCCCTGTTTCTGTACTGTTTTGCTTCTTTTTGTTTCCCGTAGGCTTGGACACTCAGGTCTTGGCTCTCCTGGGCAGCAGGAGATGCGGTCTCCTCTGTCCCAATCCTGGAAAATGCAACTCTGGCCCTTTCCTCATCCTGAGTACTCCCCTGGGAACCCAGGCCTGACCAGAAAAACTAGGCTGCTGCTTCACTTACCCCGACGCCTCCCCAGGCCGCGAATGAATTCTGCCCAGGTGTGCCTGCCCTTCACATAGCAGTTGATGCTCAAAGCTTACAGCTTTGGGAGCAGCAGGGTGGCCGCAGCCTCCATCATCATCACATGCCCATCTCAGCATCTCTGAAACCCTGGGTATCATCAGTCCGGAGCAGTCAGCATTTGGAAAAGGCCCTCCCCTGATCTCTCTTCTGACACAAAGAATAATTAAGAGCGGTCTCTGCTGATAAAACCACAGAGCCAAAGAAAGTGCACAGGGAAAATGCAAGTAAACACCCAGCGCCTACAGGCTGCAGATATGTGAGAAAGAGACAAAGCTTGCAAATTGGCCCTTCCAAGCCCTACCATGCTTTGGGGGTCCAAGTAGTCATAGGAAGACTCTGAGAAGACCCTGTATATCTCTTCAAACTCGCTGTACATTTGCTGGGCCTGCTGGCTCAGGGCATTCCCTCTGATGCCACTAAACTCAAGCTTTACCAATTTGTGGAAATCCAAAGTTGTCTTCAGAAGCCCCTATAAAGACAATTTGCAACAGAGTTAAAATAATAATAATGATGATGATGACAACAGCTGATTGACGCTCAAATTCGTATGGGAAGGGATGGAAATCATATGGGGGTGGTGGTTGCTTAGGAAAATGTGAAGCTTGATTGGTTTTGTAACCTTATTATTAGTTTGGGTTGGTAGAAATAACTCTTGGTTAAACTTGGTATCAAAGAGAAGATTCCAATAAGTAAAATTAACCCCCACACACATAAATCAAATTTGTTTCAGCCTCTTTCTGTGTTCTCTACTGAGCAATAAAATATAATAGTAAAAACATTATTTACATGGTTGGTGGCCCTATACCCATTTAAAACATCAATTTCAAATGGACCGTGTTACGTGGTCCTGGAGTGACAGCTGTCTCAGAGGATATGGACAGGAAAGTGGACCCTTCAGTCCCGAGGACAAGCCCAGAGGGCGGCACCAACATTCTCAGCAACGACTTCTGCCAGGAAAGAAATCTGCAGGGTGCCCTCGCCAAGTATGCACAGTGCGGGAGACCATGTGGCCCGCTGGGTGACCGTGGGCAACCACCTGACATCCATGTGTTGGGTGTCTGCATCTGTGACGGGAAAATAACAGTGAGAGCGAACCAAGTCAGTGGGGGCTTGGGATTTCGGCCGGTGCCGGGCACAGAACAAACATGCAGTGAGAGCCCATGACTGTCACTGTAGAGGTGGCGGTGTCCCAGCTGTGCTCAGGATTAAGTGAGGGGGGACAGCACAACCTAGAGCCTTGGGGAGGAGCCCCTCCAGAGTCCACGGGAGCTGCTTCACCTCTGACAGGACAGGAGCCTCAGAACATGTCGGTGTGACAGCTTGTAATTTTCTCTCATGAATACCCATCTGAAATCACAAACTTCCAGACCAAGACATTGTCCCTTTTATAAATTCCAATCGGTGTGCATACCTCTGCAGTAGAAAAGGGGGAGATAATGGTCCCTTTGTGTCACTTTGGCAAACATGTGGTGTGACCCCTGGGAGGCAGTCCTCTACCCTGAAGAAGTTTAAAGGACGAGAAGAGGGAACACGGACATGATGTTGAAAACCCAGCAGACCCTGGTACCATTCTAGCAAATTCCCACTGCCACTGGCCACACTACCAGTTGACCCATCAGGCTAGCAGAGGGCTGCCAGAACACCACAGCCAGCAGCAGTGACAGAGGTGCTGAGCAGTGGTGACAACTGGCTGACTTTCCCTGCGTTGCCAGGTGGATGTGATGCAGCCTCGGGCAGCCATCTAAGGACACTCTTTTGTTTTGCTATGTTCAGGCATGGCTGTCAGCAGGTAGATGAAGTGGGAGAGGAGAGGAGGAAGAGCCAGTCAAGGGAAGGAAGATGTACAGCCAAACCAGGAGGTCTTGCCAACGATGGGGAAATGGGGCAGTCTTTATCTTAACTCGTTCAACTTTGTATACAGGGAGGAAAATAGCAGTCAATTCCATTTAAAGGAAATTGACTTAAATAGTAATTCAAGTCATTCAAAAAGTGCTTCATTGTAATCAGCATGATAGGAGAAACATATTTGTGCTGTGGAATGTAACCCATTTTTCATGATTAAGTGGATGTCAATTTCAATTTTGAGGAAATATCCTCTAGCCATTTTAAAAGACAGTTGCATCTTGATGTGTCTGATTACATCAGAAAACTAGATAATAATTTTGCTATACTATTTTATTTCTCAAGAACTTGAAGCAATGTCTGGGGTGGGCACTGAAAGGTGTTTCATCTCCAATCTAACAGGCAAATTATTAGAGGAATACTTAACATAATCATTCTATTTGTGGAGAAACGCTGGTCACCAAAAACGATGGATATTTATGTTGCTGCTTTACTTAATAAGCACATGATTGACAATACGTTTATTCAAGGTTCATTTCAAGGTCTTAAACCTTTCCTTACTTGGTGCCACATTAAAAGAAGCTCCCACTCCATTTTTCTCCTGCACTCTGTCCCCTTCCCCTGTTTAAGCTTTCTTTAGAACTCTTACCACACTCTGGCATTATAATATAATATCTAAGATTATATTATTTGTTTATTTTCTATCTATCTTTCTCAGTAGGTTGTAATCACCCCAGAGGTCCTACTGTATCTTCAGTCCCTGGAAGAGTCCCATATGCTGAAGAAATACTTGTTGAATGAATGAATACATGGTCTTTGACCTTTGACTTAGCTACAGCACTTCCAGGAGAGGGTAGTAGAGTATCTGGGAACATCGGACTCAGAAAAATTGGAGAAAATATGGAAAATTAGACAAGAGAAGAGAATTAGAAAGCAAGGCCAAACTGTGCCTTTAAATGTTTGAAGGGCTTTGGTCAAGTCCAGGAAGAACCTTGCAGGGTCGTACTATGAGGGCGGAACAAAGGCAAATGAGCGAACAGGACAGAGGAGCAGATGTGGTGCCAACTTGCAGGTTGAATTTATAAATTTCTTATATTTGACCATTTTGACCTACAAGAAGTGGCAATTTCACATGGTTCCAATTAATAAAACAGAACCGTCTCACAACTAGAAATGCCCAACGACAGAGTGGGCTGCTAAGAGGGAGGTAGTGAGCTCTCCATCTCTGGGCGGATTTTAGTAGAAGTTTCTTGTCACTGAGGTACCATAGAGAAGATTCCTGAACTAAGTGGGAAGGTGTCTTGCAACTTTAGAAACAGACTTATCATAATCACGGTGACTCTATCTTTGATTCTTAAAATATTCAAATGTAAGCTCTTTTCACTGTTTACTCAGAAGTCCTCACAAGACAGATAAAAGGTCATTTAAACCAATAAGAGGTTTAAATTATATTTTAAAGATATCCACTTTTATCCATCACAGTTGTAAATGCACGAAATTCATTCCACTATATGCAGGCTGAGTGTCCAGTTCAGGGATAGGACACACAGCATCCTGCAGGATAGGGCACATTCCTGGGCTCACACAGCCCACAACCCTGGTCTGCCATTTACCAGCTACGTGGCTTAGTGAGACTTTTAATTTTTCTAAGTCTCCCTTTCCTAACCTGCAAATGGGTTACAGAGTTACAGGGGAAGTGCCTTTGGATGACTTCAATAAATGGTGGCCACTGTAGCTCGCTGTCTTTACCCAGGTGTCATCAGATCAGGTTGGTGGCTGAGATGTACAATGGCTGATATGCAGGTGCTTCTTTCCAGACAGACGCAACAAAGAGCATGGGGTCCCAGGCAGCTGACTGGGTGGATTGGGTCCTATTCTTATGAAAAACCGTGCAACCTTTGACAGGGTGGTGAGGGAGGGCTCTGTGTGCTGTGGCCCCACAAACGGCAAGCCTGTTCTCAGGAGAGGACCCACATCTTAAAAGAAATGTCTTCAGAATTCATTAAGGGCGAGCACAAAGCAGACATCCATAGATGAAAATCTCAAAAGGTCACTGGGAGAAAGACTGTTTTCTTTACCTTCCGTCGATGGCCGACCTTATGCGGCTAATGGTCTCCTACGTGACCACATGCCCAGGCCAGGCTGAAAGGGATGCGGCCCAATTAGGCCTGAACGAAAGGAGGCAGCGGAGGGGCTGGGGCTGGAGCCGGAGCGGGGAGCAAAGGAAACGCGCTGAGATGAGGTCAGCTTATTACCTATCTGCCTGCTAATCACTGCGCATGAAGCCTCAGCAGGAAAGCATCTTGTCTCCAAGTGAATCACAGCTTTACAGCAATTTTATAATGAAAGAAATGGGGGTTCTCTCCGAGCTGCTTACTTACTGTGCTGTTTGAGGGGAGAGGCTGTGGGCAGAAACATAAATAGGGCGTCTGCAGAATCCACAATATTAAGGCACAAAAATATTGTGGCACTCTGTGTGTGTATGTGGGTGGGTGTGGTGGTGTGTGCATATGTGCTGTGTGTGTGTATGTGTGTGTGTGTTGTGGGGTCCACAGATATCTGACAGATTCCTACTCCAAGGCCTCTCAGGTGCCTGGCTGCTGCCCTTCAAAGATAACAAAGAACATCCTCTCCTAACACATCCTTGCCTTAGCTGAGGTAACGACCATCTATATAATAAATGCCCAGAAGCCTGACCACCAGGACTGGTCACAGCCTCTACCAGAGTCCTGTAGCCCCACCTTCTCACGACCCCCTCCCTTCCCTATTATCTCAGCAGCAACAGTCAGAGACTTGTGCACAAGCTGATATGGCACCTGTGACCCCTCAGTACCTGGTGTGACCCTCCCTTATAAAAGACGCCAACCACCGGCCCTCGGGGCTCAAACAGGCACTTCGCGTCTGTGTGGCCCACTGTTGTCTATGGCAGCGTAACCAAGTAAACCCCTCTATTTTCATTCTTTGTCTTTAGTAAATTCTTTCACCGTCCATGCACTGGCCTGCCAAACCCCACAATGTAAGTGTGGCGTGTAAGTGTGCGTGTGTATGTGAAGCGTTGTGTGCATATGCACAGTGAGTGTGGTGTAGTGTCGTGTGTAAAATGTGCAGTGTATGTATGCAGGAGTGTGATGTGCAGTGTGTGTGTATGTACTTGTGCAGGAGCAGGAAGGCAGGGTGAGGGAAGGAGTCAAGAGGCAGCTGAAGACTCCTCCCCCCTTCAACTTTTGAACGTTTCTTCAAATTGCAAAGATTTTATATACTTTTAGAATTTCCTTAATAAGGCCCTTTTATGGAATAGGAATTATAATTTTACCCAAATGACTTATTTAGAAAAAAAGACCTAGAAGTAATATAAAAAGAATGTGCAAAGGCAGAATAGAGTGCGTCAGGGCAGAAGAAAACCACAAAACCAGTGGGGGATCCTCAAAAAGGGAGGAAGAGACAGGAGCAGACCTTTAGAATCTCTGGGAGATGTCGGAGTCCGTGGAAAGACAGTGCTTGGAACCATACGCCCCGTAGGTACCAATCCCAGCTAAACCTCCCTGAGCCTGTGACTCTGTGCAAGTTAATGTACGTGTCAGACTTAATGGTGCACGTTTGTTAAAGGAAGAACACCGACACCAGCTC